TCGGGTCGGCCATGTTGGCTGCGTGCAAGGCAAACGCCCTACCACTGTGCTATCGCTCTATATTCCTTTTTTTTTTTAATGGAGGGAAATTAGCAGTGCTCAGGGCTTACTTCTGGCTCTGAGCTCAGGGATCACTCCTGGCAGGTGGGGTAAGGGAACTGCACCCTGGTTGGCCATGCAGTGCAAACACCTTCTTGCTATACTATCACTCCAGTCCCAGAAATGTATTCTTATGCGTAACCTTGTACATAATGTTTACAATTAAGGTGGGAAAGTAGTTTTTTTTAATTGAATCATTGTGAGATACACAGTTACAAAGTTATTGATGATTAGTTTTCAGTTAAGCAGTGCTCCAACACCTATTTTTTCACTAGTGTACATTTCCTGCCACCAATGTCCCCAGTTTCTCTCCTGCCTCCTACCTGAGCTGCCTCTATGGAAGGCATTCTCTCTCTCTCTCTCTCTCTCTCTCTCTCTCTCTCTCTCTCTCTCTCTCTTTCTTTCCCTCCCTCACCCCCACCCCCTTTTCTTTTAGGCACAATACTGATTTTGAAAGGTTATCATATATATCACTTTCCTCCTTTCACTGCTAGGTTTTTGTCCAGAGTGACTTTTTCCAATTATCATTGTAATAGTTCTCCCTTCACTGTCCTAATTGCACTTCCCCACAACTTTTGGCAAATTTCCTACCATAGACCAGTCTTTCTGGCCTCATCTCCTGCCTTGTGTATTATCTCATACTGTACAGATATTTTATATCCTGCAGATGAGTGCAGTCAGACTCTGTCCCTCTCTCTCTAACTCATTTGACTCAGCACGATTCTCTCCATGTCAATCCATAAACAGCTTCCATGAAGAAAGCGCTTTTTTCTTTATCACGATTAGTCTTGGATATTTAAAACTTAATTTTAGAGCACACCTCTTGCATATGGGTTTGATCCCTGGTGCTATAAAAGTAAATAAGTAAAGCAAACATGTATATCAGAATTTAAGTTATTTTTATAATAGATGCAGATTTTACATTTTTATTTATTATTGGGGGGAGTTGGCGCCATACTGGTGATGCTCTGGGACTATTTCAGGTTCTGTGCTCAGGAGTGACCCCTGACAGATTTGGGGAGCTGGGAATTGAACTAGGGTTAGCCACTTGCATGTTAAGCACTTGCAACCTGTTGTCTGTGGCCCTAGATGTGAAGTTTTAATTCTGTATTAACTGCAGATATTATAACTGGATCATGTAAGAACTTTGCGATGTTTATTGCATCATATTTATAATTTGATAATAATTTATAGTGTATGCAGAGTAAAAGAGACTTCTCCATTTTGGATAGATTTCTTTTAATTAAAATAGCCAAGAAAGTCTTAAAAAATGTAAAATTTTAATGATTATATATGACCCAATATTTCATTCAAAGTGAAGTATAATAAATTATGTTGAAAGTTTTAGATTTTCTAGTTTGATGGGGTGTGTGCATAAAATTTTTTGAGACCAGACTGTATGAAGAGCTACTCTTAGATCAGCACTCAGGAGTTGTCCCTGGCAGTTCTTGGGGGACCATGTAGTATCACGAATCAAACATGGGGCTCCTGCATGCATAGCATGCACTTTAGGATATTAAGCTAGCTCCTTGGCCCTTTTCTTGTTCTTTAAAATAATGTATAAAACAGTTCTCTGTTTTATGTTCTCTCTCTCTCAATCTCACACTCCCCCCCCCCCCCCCCCCCCGCCCGACCTATCCCTGTTCTATACACTGGCATGATCATCTAGGACTTCCTAATACAGCTTATTGAATGCAGGGCCACACATGCACTGGTTATAATACTTGAGATCCTCGCCTAGCTTCTAAAGCTCAAGAATTTCTTAACTTTATTTGTTCTCTCTACCCCACATATTCAAGAAGAGTAGTGATTTATCTGTGACTTCCTTCAGGAGGATGCTGTAGCTCCATTTAGGAACTTTTGAACTGATGACATTAAATGGCTGTCCATTTATTTGGTTCAGTCAATTTTAATGCTGAGATGTTTCTTGAAATTTTGGTATGTTAGCTATAGCCATGCCACTGGAATCCTCACCAGCGTGTTTTATTTGGAGCAACCCAGAGGGGGCAGGTGAGGTCCCTCCCGGCCCCACGGGAGCCAGCCCCAGCAGCTGAAAACCCCCAGAACTCAACCGCCACCATGCTTACAGCAGCTCACCACATGCTTGGAAGAGCCTCACCCGTGAGTGAATCTATTCCTGAACATCTTATACTTTACACCACCAATATATCAAGAGTAGCACACCACATTTGATTGTGAAGGCAACCAATTTAGAGGGTAATGTATTTATACAGATATTTATCTATATAGATATATACATATCTATCTATCTATCTATCTATCTATCTATCTATCTATCTATCTATACATACATACATTTATATAAGCACACAAGCTCAACCTTTAACAACATGTTACTAATCTCTTACAAAAGGGTTTAGTGGCTCCTGGGTGAAATACAGCATTCTTCACACACTTTCATCTAAGAAAAAAAAAGTAAGTTTGGTATGTTTGACTTTTGACTTAACCTTTGTGTTTGAAGATGACTTCATATATCATGCACACTGAATACTCAGTTCTTAGGTGGAGAGAGTAGCTAAGTTCATTACAAGATGCCAGACTTTCTTCAAACTTAGAAGATTTTCAGTGATATTTTTCCTATCATTGTTAATTTGAACTTGTTTGCAACTTACTATTTGTCCAGTCAAACTTTAGTCTTTAGTCATTTTTTTTTCAGTCTATTGCATTTTTTTATTGCTACCAAGCTAGTACTTTTTCTCTTGCCTGTTGTTCTCATAATCTGTAATTACTGTGTTTAAGTGTTGCTTGAAAGTATGTGTATGTATTCTGCACCATCAACAAACATGATGTCATCCCCCATGTTCATTTTTGTTTTTACTCTACCAGAAAATCATTCCTTAGATATTCTGAAGTTTCACTACTATGACCTTGTATAGACCTATCATCTTTGGTGGAGTTGTCTACACTTTTGGGTCTATTAATGATGTGTGTGTGCCAAGGAACAAACCCACATCCTCAATGAGCATGTGTTTTGCCATAACCACTGAGCTGTGTTCTGGCCTCTATAACTTCCTTTTTGGAAAAAAAAGCTTTAAAATTATTTCAGACTTTTTTATAAGCACAATGTAATGATCAGAATCAGGAAATTAATGCTGATATGCCATTATAGATGTCTTCAGATAATCATTAATTTTTCTAATGATATTCTTTTATAGCAAAAGAAGAAATATTTTTTTGTTCCTGAAGGCCAGTCTATATACATTGCATTTAGTTATTATGTTTATATTTCTTTAATCTGTGGCAATTTCTAAATCTTTGTCTTTCTGTCTTAACATTTTGGAGAATAGAGATCATTTATTTTGTAGAATGTCTTTTAATTTGTATTTATCTGATATTTTCTCATTAGAGTGAGGTATTTTTAGTAGAAATACCTCAAAGATGATGTTGAAGTTTTTTAGTATAGCATATCAAGGGGCATTATGATGTCAGTTTGCCTCGTTACGGATGATTTTTAACTTTTATCACTTGGTTAAGGTGATATCTGCCAGATAAAATTACTGTTTTTACCTTTGTAATGAAAAGACAATTTGTGAAGAAATATTTGAGATTATGTGAATATCCTGTTTCTCACTAGACTACTTTCAACATTTATTAATGATTCTTGCCAAATGGTGATTTTGTTTTTGTTTTTGTTTTGGTGTCACACCTGATAGTGCTCTGAGTTTACCCTGCACTCAGGGATCACTCCTGGAAATCTTAGGGTGCTGGAGATAGAACCCGAGTCAGCTATATGTAAGGCAAGATCTCTCCTGCTGTACTTTTTCTCCAGCTTCTGATGACTTCCTTCCTCCCTCCCTTCCCTTCAGCCGCCCCTTCTTCCTTTCTTCCCTCCTTTCTTCTACATCTGGTGGTCAGTGCTTAAAGGATTGCTTAAAGTAGTATTCTGCAGGTCCTCTTGCAAGCGAAGCATTTGCTCAGCTTCTTAAGCTGTATTACCAGCCTTTAGACTTCTTTCTTCTGCATTTGTTAATTGTCATTTATCATAAGGAAGAAACTTATGCTCTGCCCATTATTTTTCCATTTATTTTATGTACTGGTAGATTTGTATTTATTTCAGTGGCTTAGTTATATATTTCTTTTCTTTCTTCCTTTTTTATTTTTAGGTGTGGCCACACCAAGGGGGCCGGCCACACCTAGAAGTGCTTATTGGATCTGGTTGGTCGTGCTAAGGATTGCACCTGGGGCTCCTGCACGCAAAGCAGAGCAGAGTAGAGCAGAGCAGAGCATACTCTTTGGCCCTTTGAAATCAGCATTTTGAGCTGTCTCCACAGCCTCCTTGTTAAGCGTTTTTTTTTTTTTTCTGGTGGGGAGGGTGTTGGGGGGGCACCTGGTGGTTCTCAGGGGAGTAGTTTGACTGGGAAGTCACTCCTGGCAGAGGTCCAGCGGAACTAAATGGGCCTTGAGATCTTAGTTAGGCCTCTAGCATACTAAGCATGCACTGTAGCCTTGTGAGCTGTCTCCCTAGTCCTAATTATTCATGTCTTAAGTGAGGAGGGGAGAACTATTTCTTAGGATCTTAAGAAATTTGTGTGATGTTTATTTCACTCTGGTAAGTACTCAAGTTCCTAAGACATTGCAATGATTAAGTATAAAGACATGAAAAGGTTAGTTGAATGTTATTATAGGTTTATGATCTCATAAAATTTTAAAATTTGAAGCTGATTTTCAAAAGTTTTGCTTACAGCATTCTTATTTGGTGGGAAAATTAGATCTGAACTTTTTATCCAAATGTGAATTTTATACTTCTTACTTAAAAATATTAATAGACTTGACTACTGGGAGCTTCCCTAGGCTCTACTGGAAATGTTGTATAATACGTGCCATGTACACATGATATTTTTCATAAAAATCTAGAAATTCATATTTAAAAGCACATTTGGGTGCTCAATTTGGCAGTACATTTACTAAAATTAGAGCATTATAAGAGAATATTAGCATGACCCCTGTGCAAGGTTACCATAAGTTCCTGAAGTAGGCCATTTTGCCCTCTCTGCACCTCTCATTGCCTTATCCCCCCATCCTAAGCTATACCACTGGACCTCTGCCAAGGTCTGAAACTCATGATGGGAAGGACTGTATAAGTCCCAAGACCTGGTAGACATGGCTGTTTAATAAGTGTTTGTTAAAAGATAAAAATTATTAAACATCACAGCATACATTTGGTTATAATAATGAGCTCATGTTAAAGACTTGGGGGTCTGTAGGTCCTATTTGTAAGTATATGTGTAATACTGTTGGTAGTCTATTCCTACTTTGTAAATTGACACTAATGGTTATAGTTATGTCTATTTATATTCATTTAATATGTGATAGTTCCTTAATCTTAGTCTTTATTAAGAATAATTTTGCCAGCATTTGCTTAAAGAGCAAAGAGAAGCCTGAGTACCTCTTTGCTCTTAGGTAGACTTTCTTGTGCTATTTTAAATACACTGAGAGAGATCAAATTCCTTTGTGATTTTTCTTCCCTTCACTGTTAATACTGAACCTGCTCCTTTTCCAAATATGTAGTATTTTTCTAATCTTTCCATTTAGGCAGGTTTAAAGAATAGCTAATGATCTGTAATAAACTATAGAATATAGGATTTCACATCTTTTCTCAACTACCAAATGTCTTTAGCTAATGTTAGTGTAGTATTTCTTGTAGAGGGCAGAATTAGTTTCAAATTGAATGATACAAAGACAGATTTTAACTGTGCCTTGACTGCAAAGTAAGTTCTTTTTAGAGTGCTAACAGAAGAGGTCGTCGTACATTTTAATAGAGAATAATACTAGCGCACATTGCTTGCTGTCTTTTCAGAGCTAATGAACATTGAGTTTACATTTTATCTTAATGAGAATTTTAAAATTTAAGTATTTATTCATAATGTGATTTTCCTAGCAAATGATTCTATGCCTAGGCCTCAAGATAAATTAGCTAAAAATAGTGCATAATTAAAAATCTTTAGCTTTATTACTAGAAATTATTTTAATTTTTAATTTGCTTACTAATTGTGAAACTTTTTTTTGATTAGATTTTGTGTCCTCTTATTCATGCAAATCAGTTAAAACTTTTTCTTATTTAAATTAATTCTCCAACAATCTTTACTTCTGTTACTAAATTTTCAATTCATTATACTTGATTTAGATAAAAATTATTTAAAGCTAGTAATTTATATAAATATACTAGTTAAATAATGCACAAATAGTAAAACCTCAAATTTTATAAAGAATATAAAATGAAACTAACATATTATAACATTTTTATTTTCAAGTCAAGCAAAGGTTGACAGCTCTCTTTCTGTTACATGTCATTCAACCTATGGAGTATGCAAATGTCTTGTTTGCTTGCTAGCCAATTTAGCTGTAGTGAGTGAAGGGAAACTGGTAAAGATTTCCAGTAGTCCTCCTATCTCCCCTCTCCGTTCTTTGTAACCATAAAGTTAGATGGCATGTGGTGGCAACAATGGAAAGGAACAGTTCTAAAAGTGAATCAAGTTTGTTTTATAAAATTAATTTTAGATGTTTTACAGTGTTTGCCTTCCACACTGCAGACCCAGGCTCCATCCCCTGCATCCCATATTGTCACCTGAGCACAATCAGAAGTGATTCCTGAGTGCAGAGCCAGCAGTAAACCCTTAGGCATCAGGTGTGGTCCCCCCCCCCATTTTCTTTATAGGTTGCTAATCCTTCATATATATGTGTGTGTGTGTGTGTGTGTGTGTGTGTGTATACATATATGCATGTATGTATAATTTAGTGTTTATTTGGTCTTAGTCTTATTAGTTTTTATTAGGTAACAATTTAATTGATATAAATGAACATTATTTCTAGCATTTTATTTTAAAGCAAAAGGTAAGCTGAATATTAATCGTTACCACATATAACATACAAATCTTTGTTGAAGTGAGGGATTAAGACTTTATGTAACTGTTACCAAAAAGTCTCAATGTAGTACTTTCAGAATATTACAGAAACTGTCACTGTCACTATCCTCCTGTTCATCGATTTGCTCTAGCAGGCCTAGTAACGTCTCCATTGTGACAATTGTTACTGTATTTGGCATATTGAATACGTCACGGGTAACTTGTCAGGCTTCGCTGTGCTTAACAGAAAATAAAATTTAATTTTTTAAATTAATTTTTAAAATTTAATTTCATTAATGATTTAATGATTTGAAGACTTTCTATGTTTTCCTGTTAGGATTATTCTATGGTTATGAAACCCTAAAATGTTGGAAATGGCAATGATTGCTTAAATGAACACAGCAAAAAGATTCAAGAGTGATTTTTTTTTTTTTAAACTTTGGGCCATACCTGGCAATGCTCAGGGGTTACTCCTGGCTCTGTTCAGGAATCACTCTTGAAAGTACTCAGGGGACTATATAGGATGCCAGGGATTGAACCAGGATTGACAAGGTGCAAGACAAGTGCCCTACCTGCTTTACTATTTCTCTGTTGTTAGTATAAATTTGCCTGTTGGTTTTCTCTTTCAGGGAAAGGATGTAATGCCTAAAAGTTTCCAGGACTTCATTAAACTAATAATGTTGGATTGTGGCCAGGCATTCAGTTGGTTGAGACTCAGCCTTCTCTGAGGCCCAAAAAAGAGCATGAGGGAAAGGTGGGAGTGGAAGGTGGAATAGATTTTTTTAATACTAAATTTATTATGTTAAAAGGGTTGTGCTTAAATTTAATAAATTAAATTTAAGGCTTTAAAGCCCTCTAGACTTTTTCTACAGTAGCATTTCTACTTTCATTTTTTTAAATTATAACAACAGTCATAACCCTTGATTTTTTGTTTTATAGTTCCAAACAAAATAAGACTATAGTAGGATCGTCTGTTTTTTTTTTATTATTAGATTTTTTTCTCTTGGTTCTTAAAATGTTAGAGTCTACAGTGGTCCCCTGAACTCTACCAGGAATGATCCCTGAGCCCAGAGCCAGGAGTAACCCCTAAGCACAGCTGGGTGTGGCCCCAAAACAATAAACAAAAGCAAAAAAAAGTTTGAGCCATCTGCTCATCTTACTTATTCCATATTTACATGGCTGTACACTCACTTAAGAGTAAAATATTAAGGCCTTTGCTTTCTATTTTGTATATACTTATGGTACTTGGGTTTCTTTTTATTTTACATTGCAACAGTGATTTATCAAGTTGTTTGTAATATGGTTGTTTCAGGCATTTAGTGTTCCAACATTAATCCTACCACCAATGTGACCTTCCCTCCACCTTTGTCCCCACTTTCCCACTCACCAGGTAAGCCTGCCTGCTTATCAGGCACAAACAGATTTACTTCATACAGCTTATTAGAACATAAAGGCAAATGGAATTATCAAAAAATAGATCAATAAAATAAATTTGTGATAATTGTTATATCTCAATGTGGTGTTACTAAAGTTACTGTCGGGGATTTACTTGACTGGTTGGTGCTAGTTGAACTTTCTGTGCTATTTTTTTCTCTCATTGAGCTTGGTGGTCTTCTACACAGCTTTCCTATCAGATTTGAAGTGATACTATTGGACTTGGAAGTACTGTGAAATTTGGAGGTGCTCTGGAGCAGGAATGTTTTGGTGGTTTGGTGGCTTAATAGGTCGATTTGTGTACAGAGGGTGTTGGGTGTTGCTGTGGGCTGCTGTGCCTTCAGGCACAAGGAGAATCTGCCTGGACACCTCAGAGTTTTCAGCCCAGATCAGTCTGGGAAGAATGAGTAGCATCATGTTCTTTTCGAGAATAGTTGTGGAGCTGGGTTGTTTCTATACTGGAAGTGTCAGGTGTGGGCTGGAGCTGCTGGTGGAAGTTTGGGGGGGGGTTGGGGGGAGAGGGTAAGGGATGTTGGATTTTTAAAAAAATTTTGTCTTTGGTTGTCACAGCAGTGCCGGGAGTAGAGTCCAGGACTTCACATTCAAAAAAAGTGCTCCACTGCTGAGCCACATTCCTAGGTCCCTAAAATTTTTTTTGGCTTTTTGGGTCACACTCGGTGTTGCACAGGGGTTACTTCTGACTCTGAACTCAGGAATTACTTCTGGCAATGCTGGGGGAACCATGTGGGATGCCAGGGATTGAACCCAGGTCAGCCGCACTCAAGGCAAATGCCTTACCATCACTATATCACTCCAGCCCTGTGTCCCTCAATTTTTTTTTTTTAAATTTTTATTAGTGAAACACCATGAGGTACAGTTGTAGACTTACAAATTTTTGTGCTTGGGTTTCAGTTATACAATGGTCAAGTACCCATCCCTCCACCAGTGCCCATTTTCCACCATTACGGATCCCAGTATCTCTCTCCCCCGCATCCGCGCCCCCCCCCCCCCCCCCCACTGTCCAACCCTGCCTCTGTGGCAGGGCATTCCCTTTTGTTCTCTCTCACCTTTTTGGGTGCTGAGGTTTGCAAAAGAGGCATTGAGTGGCAATCATGTTTGGTCTATAGTCTACTTTCAGCATGCTTCTCCCATCCTGGGAGGATCCTCCTAACACCTTTTATTTGGTGTTCCCTTCTCTATCTGAGCTGCCTTTTCCCCTAGCATGTGTGGCTGGCCTCCAAGCCATGGAGTAAACCTCCTGGTACTTATCTCAGCTATTCTTGGGTGTTATTCTCCTATTTTGTTTTTTTTATATTCCCCAGATGAAAGCAATCTTTCTATGTCTTTCCCTCTCTTTCTGACTCATTTTGCTTAGCATAATACTTTCCATGTAGTACCACTTGTATGTAAATTTCATGACTTCATCTGTCCCTCAATTTTTTATTTATTTATTTATTTTTATCTTTTGTATATTTTATTGCTTTTATTTTTTTTTTAATTGAATCACCGTGGGAAAGGTTACAAAGCTTTCAGGTTTAGGTCTCAGTCATGCAAATATCAAACACATTTCCCTTTACCAAAACTTATTTTTTCCCATGAAGAACCCCAATAAAACCCCACCCCCCACCCCTCCCAGTCCCTGTGGGGCAGATGAATTCTAGTTAACACTCTATCTGCTTTGATTAGATTCATTGTTTCAATAAAAGATTC